TGAGGAAGTAGTAAAAGATAGGACTTTGAAGGTATTCTATGGAAGATGTCGAGACAGCTACACGCAACCAGCGGCTCCTATAGTCTTGTAACCATCAGCCAACATTAGACCAGCATTGTCGCATAAAGAATGATTTTTTAATTAAAATGTAACCATTACAAAAATAAAACATTTAATGTTACATTAGACCAGCATTGTCGCATAAAGAATGATTTTTTAATTAAAATGTAACCATTACAAAAATAAAACATTTAATGCTACATTAGACCAGCATTGTCGCATAAAGAATGATTTTTTAATTAAAATGTAACCATTACAAACATAAAACATTTAATGTTACATCTATTTCTTGCTTACATTGTAAGGAGCTTATGTAACAATAGTAACATTCCTAAATGTTTTTGATCTTTAACAGTTGAACTAGATTGCTGTTCTTGAGAAACATGCTATATCTAGTAAATTAAAGAATATTTTTTCAAAGAGAGGAAAAAAAAAAAAAAAAAAAAATTAATAATATTGTATTAATTTATTTTTCTAAAATCTTAAGTTTATTTCAGCTCTACTTAATAGGCCCACCACGCCAATGAAAAAACAATCCACTGAATCATCATTTAAAAACGCATTTGCATTTTCAGGGGTATGTTTTACAAAAATAAAATTGTAATTAGAAGTGTTGTATTGGATCTATATATAAGTAAACCATCTTAAATAAATGAAAGTAATCTACATGTAAGAAAGAAGTATTACTATTGTAAATCTATCAGTCCTCACAAAGTAAAAAGTAAAGTTCCCTTTTCAAACTTGACGGTCTATAGGGCAAGTGAAGTAGAGTTCATTTGTTTTTATGACGAGATAGTGTGGTCAGCAGTATGCCCAGCCGCCTTTACTTTCCCTAACTAGAGTTAGGTACCCATCAGAGTTGGGTGGACTCAGGGACGGTCTACTGACTTGAACCCGGATTCGAACTCGAGGCTTACGGGTTAGCAGTCCAGCTCTCTACCTCTAGACCACTCCGTCCCCAAAAAAATTTGCCAAAAAAATACTCTCTGGTCTATTTACATATATTATAAGCCTACTAAACAAATATTGTGTGCAATACGTGTAGCATTTACTGCTATAGCGCTTGGTGATGGGTTTGAGGGTTGTATGGATTGTATGGGTTGTATGGGTTGAGAATGTCAACCTGCCGAGTCAAGTTTAAAAACTTTAAAGTTTAAAAACGACATTAAAGGAGTAAAAACAAATAACGTGGGCTATTGACAATAGGTAATCAAACAAGGGATATAGTGCAAGGAAAGAAACAAATTTTAAGTTTTTAAACTTTTAAACTTTTAAGTCCTACCAATCGTCATACACCAACTACACCCCTTTGTTGTATTTGTTGTATACCATCAGGGGCGCAACTTAGAAAAATTTATTTTAACGAGCCGACCCGCGGCATATCATACGCCGCTATTTAGTTGTTGTTTTTTTCTACTTTTCAGTTATTCATAATTTGTGAATTCGACACTACCAACGCTGCCACTGAAAATATTTCTTTAAAACACTATAAGTAGCTCGTTAAGGACGATAACCCCCCCCCCCTCCTTCCCCCCCCCCCCACTCCGTTAGAGTAAACTCCACTTAGTTACCCCCCCCCCCTTTACGTTTAAAATCGTTTCAACCTAAATTATCTGCCCCTAATAGTCGTCACTAAACCCGGCTCTGTTTGTAAACATTTAGCGTGAACCACAGCTCACCAGACAATGTAGGGGTGGTAGGGAGCGCGTTTAAAGCTTGTTTTCTAGCGTCTCCCAGAAGAGAATTATATATATAGATTTTATCCCCATAAACGGCCATGTCCCATACCCTACCCAACCCCCGAACCCCACCCCCACTCTAGCTTTGCGAGATTCGGTAGTCCCGCCACTGCGTATCATTAGCATCAGCTCAGCATAATTCATTTGTTCCACGCCTAATTTGCTTGAAGTTTTTCATAAGCGGCAAGTCTCCATGTCTTCATTAAATCTGAGACAATTACTCACGGCTGGAGATCATGACACCGCTGGAATAATTCAAGAACTTAATCACTGGCACAACCCGCAAACAAAAGGCCGTTAAAAAAATGAGACGAGTCTAGCCCTGCCCTGGCAAATGCGAGTTGTGTGGAGCAGTTTTAAGCCGGATATTGTTTCATGTGTACCGCCAACACTGATACTGACTTGATTTAGTCTTAAACTTACCTGTTAAATGGGGCTATGCAAGGTGGGGATTTAGGCTTAAACTTACCTGCTATATAGGGCATTGAAAGGTGGGGATTTAGCCTTAAACTTACCTGCTATATGGGGCATTGAAAGGTGGGGATTTAGGCTTAAACTTACCTGCTATCGGGGCAATGAAAGGTGGGGATTTAGTCTTAAACTTACCTGCTATATGGGGCATTGAAAGGTGGGGATTTAGCCTTAAACTTACCTGCTATATGGGGCTTGAAAGGTGGGGATTTAGCCTTAAACTTAACTGTTATATGACGCATTGAAAGGTGGGGATTTAGCCTTAAACTTACCTGATATATGGGGCATTGAAAGGTGGAGATTTAGGCTTAAACTTACCTGCTATATGGGGCATTGAAAGGTTGGGATTTAGACTTAAACTTACCTGTTATATGGGGCATTGAAAGGTGTGGGATTTAGCCTTAAACTTACCTGCTATATGGGGCTTGAAAGATGGGGATTTAGCCTTAAACTTAACTGTTATATGACGCATTGAAAGGTGGGGATTTAGCCTTAAACTTAACTGTTATGTGGCGCATTGAAAGGTGGAGATTTAGGCTTAAACTTACCTGCTATATGGGGCATTGAAAGGTGGAGATTTAGGCTTAAACTTACCTGCTATATGGGGCATTGAAAGGTTGGGATTTAGCCTTAAACTTACCTGTTATATGGGGCATTGAAAGGTGGGGATTTAGCCTTAAACTTACCTGCTATATGGGGCAGAGGCGTAGCGACCCTTCCCGGCGCCCGGGGAAAAACTTTAAATTTGGCGCCCCCTCGGGAGCAAATTTTCAATTTTGCAGTCCTCAAACTGTCGATTTGCACCCTCCCTCAAACTTTCGATTTGCACCCTCCCTCAAACTTTCGATTTGCACCCCCCCCCACCCCCGTCAAACTATTTATAATGCAAAAATTCAGCCAAAATGACATTTTAATTTGTTTTTACAACCCATTTTGGCGCCCCCTAAGGTCGGTGCCCGGGGACATATGTACCCCCCTGCCCCCCCCCCCCCCCCATCGCTACGCCTCTGATATGGGGCAATGAAAGGTGGGGATTTAGGCTTAAACTTAATTGCTACAATAAACTAAGCCCATTGAGCGGCGGAACATTTCAAACTTGCTGGCACCTATTAAGGGAATCACAAACCTGTCAAGTCACCACATCTAAATACACAGGTGACAGGTCTGACATCAAAACACACAGGTGACAGGTCTGACATCAAAACACACAGGTGACAGGTCTGACATCAAAACACACAGGTGACAGGTCTGACATCAAAACACACAGGTGACAGGTCTGACATCAAAACACACAGGTGACAGGTCTGACATCAAAACACACAGGTGACAGGTCTGACATCAAAACACACAGGTGACAGGTCTGACATCAAAATACACAGGTGACAGGTCTGAACCATAAAGAAACATTAAAAACCCACAGTTCAATCAGTATGTATTTGGCTAGGCTTGTTCACTCAGTATGTATGTGGCTAGGCTTGTTCAGAGTTTCTTCCAGTCCACCGTCCCCCCCCCCCCCCCGAACGAAATGGAATTTATATAGAAAATAAATACTTTTGACAGTGTCCGTCCCCCCCCCCCCCCACATCCCGGAAATAGTTGTCCGGCTTTTATATTTAGTCATACCAACCGCCGTTTGTCATATTTTTATTTGATTGAATTTGTCTGTTTTAAACTAAAATCCTGTTACAATAATTTAATAAACGCTTTTGAGAATAGCTGTTGCTCTGGTATACGAAATGAACTGTTGGGAAAATGTTCGTATTTCTAGCATTACTTTTTGTCTTGTGGGTTTATTAAACCAGCGTACCAACAGGACAGACAGAGTCACGTGACAAGGACTGCCCGTGCCCATCCGTCACCGCGCATGTTGTGATGACACCAGAGGTCAGGGGTCAGACGGCAGCTCGCGACCCGCGTACACGGAATGTGGGCCGGAAAAGTTGTTTGTAAACATTTGCTTTGTGTTTGGTTTTTGGACGTGTGGGTGCTCGTATTTCATGTGGGGCTCGGGTCGTCAGATGGTTGAGAGCAGGCTAGCGTTAGATTGTAGGTTCAACTGTTAGTTAAGTTGTGGATTCAATTTTTTTATCAGTTTAGGTTAATGTTGATGTTGGATTCAGATATTTTGTTAATTAAATTTTAGCGTTCGACTGTGGATTCAGATATTTTGTTAATTAAGTTTAGCTTTCGACTGTGGATTCAAATAGTGCGTCCGTTAAGGACTTAGCTTTAGCTTGCGGATTCAAATGTTTTCTTAACTTAGGTTAGCGTTCAATTGTAGATTCAAATATTGTGCCAGTAATAGATTGTGTATTCAGATGTTTTGTTAATTAAGGTCAACTTTAGATTGTGTGTTCAGATGTTTTGTTAATTAAGGTCAACTTTAGATTGTGTGTTCAGATGTTTTGTTAAAATAAGGTCAACTTTAGATTGTGTGTTCAGATGTTTTGTTAATTAAGGTTAACTTTAGATTGTGTATTCAGACGTTTTATTAATTAAGTTTAACTTTAGATTGTGTATTCAGATGTTTTGTTAATTAAGGTCAACTTTAGATTGTGTGTTCAGATGTTTTGTTAATTAAGGTTAACTTTAGATTGTGTATTCAGACGTTTTATTAATTAAGTTTAACTTTAGATTGTGTATTCAGACGTTTTGTTAATTAAGGTTAACTTTAGATTGTGTGTATTCAGATGTTTTGTTAATTAAGGTTAACTTTAGATTGTGTATTCCGATGTTTTGTCGGTGTGTTTAAAGCCTAACGTTATAGTGTGAATCCCAGCGTACTAAGTGGAGAACTGAATTCCATCTACTGAAGCTGTCATCAAACCATAGCTGCGAAATGTTCAGTTGTAATTGAAAACGTTGCTTTTCTCTAGTACATCATTCGTGTACAACCCATTGCCACGTTGGGGTTCGCACGTTGTTAGTAGTTGTTCACCAAAATGGCCGCTGTTAAACAGGTAAGTTAACTGTTTGTGACTAGCTCAATAGACATTACTTGCAAGGGCGGAGATGATTTGGTTTAGACTTAATATCGCTTAGTATATCGTTTTTGTGTCGTTTACTTGCTGGCGAAATACTTTACGGGTCTATATGCAGTATGATGCTCTACTGCATGCTGCTATAATGTATAATCGCATACCGATGGCTGGTCTTCTGTACGCCACTGTTGGCATAATTAGAATATATACTAGAAATACTAGTGATGAACATACTGTCTGGTTTCCTATCCCTGTAAAACAACGACGCTATGTAAGGTCACTTAAGGTGGGAGCAGTGGCGTAGCGAGGTCGGGTGTCACCCGGTGCGGCACTTAATGGTGCCACCCCCCCCCCCCCCCAGAGGCGTAGCGGATCTTCCCGGGGACAAACTTTCAATTTTCGATTTGCACCCCCCCCCCCCTCGACCCTCGAACTTTCGATTTGCACCCCCCCCCTTCAAATTTTTCTCTATATATTTTAACTATTTTTTGCCTTGGTGTCACCCCCCTAAATGGTGTCACCCGGTGCTGTCCGCACCCCCGCCCCCCCCCCCCTCGCTACGCCTCTGGGTGGGAGATTCTTGAAATCTCTAACCTCATACAAACGAGGGTAAAATTTAGCACTAGTTCTTTCTATTTTAAACAGGGCTTCATTCTTTTTTTATCCCATCTTATATAGGCCTAATTAGTTTTTAAACAGATTGAGGAAAATATAAATTTCCTAGATAAACACGTACTAACAGGATTCGCTGATATATGAGATAAACACATCCGTAAAGTTTCATGAATGCTTTTTTGTTTGAAGCCTGTTTATAACGAGGTTTTAAGATTATCAACATTGCTCCCTCTCCCTCCTTTACACCGGGTAAATAATTGTCACAAAGACACCACCACACCATCATATACTGTACCTGCAACCGTAAAAATATAGCACACCTCTATACACTCTACCTGCCACCATAAAAATATCGAACAAACACTGCAAAAGTGCTGTCTAAGTAAACAGAAGTAAGCTATTTTTAGTTTTTAAATCCTGTTCTATATCGCTCTTTTTACTTATTAAAAAAAAGCATGCCGATTTATGAATAAACAAATTCCAGACAGAACATGTTACGGAATAAGAGGTTTTCACAACATGTTTGCTATATTTATTGCACCTGTATTTCTCCGTGGGGAGTCATACACAAATATTTTTTACCGACTCTAATAATCTATGTACATTTAACGTTGGACTAGGTGGCAGGCCTTCGTTGTTGAAACACAATATAGTTTTTAGTTAGATATAGCCAAAACAAAGGTACTTAGTCGCAGCAGATGTAAGACAGCTGATGTATCTCTAAGTAGGACGTGATGGTCAAAACCTGTTTCTTGACTCTCTAGAGATGGTCAAAACGTATTTCTTGACTCTCTAGTGATGGTCAAAACTTGTTTCTTGACTCTCTAGAGATGGTCAAAACTTGTTTCTTGACTCTCTAGTGATGGTCAAAACTTGTTTCTTGACTCTCTAGTGATGGTCAAAACTTGTTTCTTGACTCTCTAGTGATGGTCAAAACTTGTTTCTTGACTCTCTAGTGATGGTCAAAACTTATTTCTTGACTCTCTAGTGATGGTCAAAACTTGTTTCTTGACTCTCTAGAGATGGTCAAAACTTGTTTCTTGACTCTCTAGTGATGGTCAAAACTTGTTTCTTGACTCTCTAGAGATGGTCAAAACTTGTTTCTTGACTCTCTAGTGATGGTCAAAACTTGTTTCTTGACTCTCTAGAGATGGTCAAAACTTGTTTCTTGACTCTCTAGTGATGGTCAAAACTTGTTTCTTGACTCTCTAGTGATGGTCAAAACTTGTTTCTTGACTCTCTAGTGATGGTCAAAACTTGTTTCTTGACTCTCTAGTGATGGTCAAAACTTGTTTCTTGACTCTCTAGAGATGGTCAAAACTTGTTTCTTGACTCTCTAGAGATGGTCAAAACTTGTTTCTTGACTCTCTAGAGATGGTCAAAACTTGTTTCTTGACTCTCTAGAGATGGTCAAAACTTGTTTCTTGACTCTCTAGAGATGGTCAAAGCTTGTTTCTTGACTCTCTAGTGATGGTCAAAACTTGTTTCTTGACTCTCTAGTGATGGTCAAAACTTGTTTCTTGACTCTCTAGAGATGGTCAAAACTTGTTTCTTGACTCTCTAGTGATGGTCAAAACTTGTTTCTTGACTCTCTAGAGATGGTCAAAACTTGTTTCTTGACTCTCTAGTGATGGTCAAAACTTGTTTCTTGACTCTCTAGTGATGGTCAAAACTTGTTTCTTGACTCTCTAGTGATGGTCAAAACTTGTTTCTTGACTCTCTAGAGATGGTCAAAACTTGTTTCTTGACTCTCTAGTGATGGTCAAAACTTGTTTCTTGACTCTCTAGTGATGGTCAAAACTTGTTTCTTGACTCTCTAGAGATGGTCAAAACTTGTTTCTTGACTCTCTAGAGATGGTCAAAACTTGTTTTTTGACTCTCTAGTGATGGTCAAAACTTGTTTCTTGATTCTCTAGAGATGGTCAAAACTTGTTTCTTGACTCTCTAGGATGTGGAGGACAGAGGCAACTGGACGGGGAAGCTGGACTTTATCCTGTCGGCCATTGGATACTCTGTTGGGCTCGGGAATGTCTGGAGGTTTCCTTATCTGGCCTACAGGAATGGGGGAGGTGAGTGGTTTGTGGAGGGGTGGGGTTTGTGTGTGTGGGAGGTGGGGTGGGGGGGTTCATAGCTGGCTTACAGGAATGGGGGAGGTGAGTGGTTTGTGGAGGGGTGGGGTGTGTGGGGGGGGGGGGGGGGTTCCATACCTGGCCTACAGGAATGGAGGAGGTGAGTGGTTTGTGTGGGGGTGGGGTGGGTGGGTGTGGGGGTGGGGTGGGGTGGGGGTTTATTTAACACGTCTTCAGGAATGGGGGAGGTGAGTAGTTTGTGGAGGGGTGGGATGGGGTCTGTGTGTGGGGGGGGGGGGGGGTCTTTAACAGGCCTACAGGAATGGTGTAAGTGACTGGTTTATGTTTGGAGAAGGAGGGTCCTTACCTGGCCTACAAAAATGGGGAGGTGATTGGTTTTTGTGGTTGGGGCAGAGTCTCTTGTCCGCCCCTTTCACTCCCACCCCCTTCCCCAAAAAAGTCTACCGCCCCCCCCCCCCCAATGAAATTAATATAAAAAATATATACTTTTACCAGTGTCCCCCCCCCCCCTCCCGGAAAATGTATACCCCCCCCCCCATCCCGAAAATATCTAGTGCCCCCCCCCCCCCCCGGAGAAAAAAGTCTGGAAGAAACACTAGGTTGGGGTCCCTTATCTGGCATTATCTTTTTGTGTGTGGGGGGGGGTTCCTTACCTGGTCTGCAGCAATGAAGATGGCGATTGGTTTGTGGTTTCGTTACCTTGTAGAAATAGGGCGGCATAATTGTACGGAAGAGCCTACGACTGCTTACTCCAAAGCTTCTAGTTCGGACCCCTGTGTCCTCCCAGCTCTAGTGCGTATCTGACTGACGTTAGGGAAAGTAAAGGCGGCATTGTGCTCATCACACTATCCCTTTATAAGCCGAGGCTACCATTTAGGTAACAGCAACTACGTTACTAAATTTTATATCATACCGGTGTATTTACGTAATATGCAACATCCTGTTTAACCGAACATTTTGTTGCTTCTATTTAATCTGTTAAAACAAAGTACCCCCTCTACAGCCTCCTTCCTGTTCCCATACATCATCATGCTGGCCATCGCTGGAATCCCGCTTTTCTTCATCGAGGTGGCCGTCGGTCAGTTCTCTTCTCAAGGTCCACTCACAGCCTGGAACATGGCACCTGTGTTTGCAGGTAGGAATTTATAAAAAGTCAAGGTGAGACTGCTTTACTGTACAGGTGAGACTTCATGATGGTCAGGTCAGACTTTGCGACCCTAAACGGTGAGACTTGTCGAACTTAAAGGTAAGTCTATAACCAAAAAAGATGAGACTTCACGGCCTTAAAAGGTGAGACTATTACCCTAAAAGGTTAGACTTTGCGAACCTTAAAGGTGAGACTTGGCGAAACTCAAAGGTGAGACTTCGCGATCCTAAGAGGTAGGAATTTGCAACCCCAAAAGGTAAGACTTCGCGCCCCTAGAAGGTGAGACTATGATCCTAAAAGATTAGACTTGGTGAACTTAAATGTTGAGACTTATTATGAATCAGTTGAGAATTCAGAACGTGTCAGGTGATACTTTACAACCCAAAAGTTCAAACTTTAGGCGAGAGTTTATAACGGCATAAAAACAACTTCATGAAACCACAGGTATAAAATATATGACTCATTTTTCTTTTGATGCTTATCACCTAAATAACTCATGTTCTGTTTTACTCACTAACTTGCTCCTAACGTGTAGGTATCGGCTACGCTATGGTCATCATCAGCGCGCTGGTCAGCATCTACTACAACATGATCATCACCTACGCCCTCTACTACATGATGGTGGCCTTCGTTAACCTGGACGACCACCTGCCCTGGGAGAGGTGCGGGCAGTGGTGGAACACTGACCACTGCAGACGTGACCCCATGCCCAACCTAGACAGCCCGGAGTACAACGACACCCAGAGGATGGAGCTCCTGTGGGGTGGGTCTTTTGGGTTGTTTAGATTAACTTTGAACATCTGAATATTTTTTTTTAAATTACTTACACTGGAGATGGGTTTGAAAATGGTAGTCCGCACTTATTTGTTTGAAAGTCATTGGGTTGTTTTCAATCCTAACCCTGGCTAGCGACCTTAGGTCATCCCCAGAGGCGTAGCTAGGGGAGGGCGGGGAGGGCGGCCGCCCCGGGCGCCGACCCTAGGGGGGCGCCAAAAGGGGTAGAAAAAAAAAATTAAAAGCTCATTTCAAGCTGCAGTTTTGAGTTATAAACAGTCAAAGTAAGAAAATTTAACGGCTGAGAGCCTTTACATACTGATGTAACTGTTTTCTACCTTGATTGTGTAACTGTAAAACGTATATCTTTAAGAAACAGTGACAGGAAAAACCGCTTTCCAGCTTTCCTAGATGGGGAGGGGGGGGGGGGCGCTTTTTCGTATACTAAAATCGGAAAAATTCACACCGCATTAAGGAATAATAACCGATATCACTCAGAAAAGAAACCCATTAAACTAAAGCGTATTTTACGATTGTGTAATATAAAAAAGAGTTAGTGACGTTTAAAATCCACTCTACCATTTTTGTCCAAGATGGTGGGGCGCTTTTTAACTAACAAAAATCGCAGGATTTGTACTGGATCGGTGACTAGATAACTCTTTTAACACTTAGAAAAGAAATCAATTGTATTAACACTTAATGTACGATTTCACTACCCAGTTTTGCTAAGTAATAACGCGACTAGTTCTTTGTACGATTCTTACGATTCTCTCAACTTGATCGTGAGAGATCAGATACTTTTACTTGATTGTATTACATCTTGCCTGGATCACTGCATTAAAGAGAAATAAATATAATGGATTCTTGTATCGCTATCCGATCAGTAAAATAGCAGACTGACGGAGCGGGTGGATGGGAACCGACACACTTTGCCAAAATTTTAATTGGCCTACTATTATCGAAATTGTTCTAAATACACGACCAAAAGTAGACCAAACAAGGCTTGCATTTTCTGCAAAATTCACTCTAAAGCAGTGGTTCTTAACTTTTTGGAGTACCGAACCCCACCAGTTTCTTATGCGCAATCACCGAATCCTACTTAATAGTTGTATCGTCCACAATCCGATCGTGAATCATATGAGTCGGGTGTGTGTCTTGACCTCCGCGGAAGCCCTGAGACTGAATTACCGAACCTCGCGGGTTCGATGGAGCCCACTGTTCTAAGCTCTTTTGATTTTCTACTTTTTATTCGTTTCGACATCTTAAGGGGAATTTAATTGGCTCGCAGTGAAGTTTTAGGGAACGACAATCAGCGTAATTGTTAATTTATATATATATATATATATATATATATATATATATATATATATATATATATATATATATATATATATATGGGGGGCGCCAAATTGAAAGTTCGCCCCAGGCGCCGGGAGGGGTCGCTACGCCTCTGGTCATCCCTGACCGAATAGCCCTTCATGTCTAGTGTGGTGTGATGAATGGAGCGTGTAAGCGAAAATCTGACAAAAACGAGGGAACCTACAACGTATGCGCAAGCTATTTGATATAGTGCTACATCCAAAAATGAAAAGAACCATACTTTTGTTCAATATTTTTATTACAATTTGTAATTAGGTGTAACAACATTTTCAGAATGTAGACGAACTTCATTATATGGATTTACATGTCATGCAACTGATTGTTAAATTGTATATATTTCGGCCAGTGTGTGATATTAGCCAATGCTCATTGACCAACTACTGGTTTTGACCGCGACATACATGTCAGGTTGTTTTCTTTTGTTATGGGGGGGGGGGGTGAATCAGTGTCCTTTAATGTCGCAAATCCTAACATTCGCTCTTTGAAAAAAAAATAGTTTGATATTGTACAGCGTTAGTATTTGTAGATGTATAGGCAACTGGACTAGTTTCTCTTACCTGTTAAGGACCTGTGTCTTATAGTTGACCTACACTAACCCAGACTTTTGTCTTATTGTTGACCTACTCTGAACATCAGACCTTTGTCTTGTACCTAAACCGACCATCAGACTTTTGTCTTATTGTCTGTAAAACCCCACTACAACCCCACCCCTGCAGGCGACTTGTACGACAAAACCTGTGTCCGACAACTCCTGAACGCGTCAGCCTACGACGACTTCAACAGTACTTCACACAGCAGCCAGAACTTCCAGAACTTTCTGCGTGGCTTCAGGGATCTCTTCAACAACACGTCACCCGGCCTTGACACGTTGACTCACCCAGAGGTCACGGGGTATACAGGGTTCAAGGCGTGTGCTTTCGTTTACACCTCATCCTCACAGGAATACTACGAGTAGGTTTTGGGGTCGATAAGGTTTGAGGTCTAGTAGGTTTGGGGTCGAGTAGGCTTGAGGTCGAGTAGGCTTGGGACGAGTAGGTTGGGGTCGAGTAGGTTGGGGTCGAGTAGTTTGGGGTCGAGTAGGCTTGAGGTCGAGTAGGCTTGGGTCGAGTAGGTTGGGGTCGAATAGGCTTGAGGTCGAGTAGGTTGGGGTCGAGTAGGTTGGGGTCGAGTAGGCTTGAGGTCGAGTAGGCTTGGGTCGAGTAGGTTGGGGTCGAGTAGGCTTGAGGTCGAGTAAGTTGGGGTCGAGTAGGCTTGAGGTCGAGTAAGTTGGGGTCGAGTAGGCTTGAGGTCGAGTAAGTTGGGGTCGAATAGGGTTGGGGTCAAGTAGGTTTTGGGTCGAGTAGGTTTTGGGTCGCTGTGAACAATGTCTTTACACGCTGTTGTTATGATTTTTATTAATAAGCAAATACAAACGCATGCATACACATGTACTGCAACGCGCATATGCCTGCGCATTTAAATAGGCCTGTGTGTTGGGATAAAGAAATCACCACACACACATACACACACAGAGATAATATTTTTTTTAAATAATTCAAAACATACATTGTTTTGTATTTTTTGAAGTGTAACATTTTTAGCTGTACAGTTTAGATTTATTCAAACTACGTGCATAATCATGAAGTGTTTGAAAAGTATATTAAATAAAATGTACTTTTCCTACATTGGTGTTATCCAAATATTTTTCACTATAGTGTTCATATATTTGTGTTATTCCAATATTGTATAGCTAAAGTTTTCAGACATTGGTGTTATCCCAATACTTTTAACTATAGTTTTCAAACATTGGTGTTTTCCCAATATTTTAGCCGTTATATCCTGAGGAATCATTTATCTGACGACATTGGTGTTATCCCAATATTTTAGCCGTTATATCCTGAGAAATCATTTATCTGACGACATTGGTGTTATCCCAATATTTTAGCCGTTATATCCTGAGAAATCATTTATCTGACGACATTGGTGTTATCCCAATATTTGTAGCCGTTATATCCTGAGAAATCATTTATCTGATGACATTGGTTTTATCCCAATACTTTCAGCCGTTATATCCTGAGAAATCATTTATCTGACGACATTTGTGTTATCCCAATATTTTAGCCGTTATATCCTGAGAAATCATTTATCTGACGACATTGGAGACCTGGGTGGGATCAGCCTGAAGCTCATCATGACCTTGCTACTGGCTTGGATTATCGTCTTCGCGTGTCTTAAGCAGGGGATTAAGACCTCAGGCAAGGTGCACGCTTATTTTATCCTAGTTCATGTTGATGCACTGCTATTTTATCCTTGTTCATTGTGTGCACTGATATATATCCTAATTTATAGTGTAGACGGCTATATTATCCTAGTTCATAGGGTTCACGGACATATTATACTAGTTCATTGGGTGCTTGGATGTTGATGCACTGTTATTTTATCCTAGTTCATTGGGTGCCAGGATATATTATCCTAGTTCAGTGGGTGCCCGGCTATATTATCCTAGTTCATTGTGTGCATGTCTATTTTATCCTAATTATTGTGTGCACGACTATAATATCCTAGTTCATTGGGTACACGGCTATATTAAACTAGTTCACTGTGTGCGCTATATTAATCTCATTGTTGGTGTTTCCAAGTCAGAAAGTTGTGATTAATAACAAGGGTAATTATGTGCTTTGGAGGAAGTACACAATGTTTTACATAGTCAGTGTCGGAAGGGCACTTTATAGCCCCTGTTGTGTTTTAATAGATCAATAGAGACGCTTTTTTAGCCAGGATATCTGGTATTCTGCAGTTAATTTATTCCCTCGCTCTCAACACACTGTATACCTTTATTCTAAACCTAGTCTATACCTTTGTATCTAAACTAAGTGTATACCTTTGTTCTAAACTTAGTGTATACCATTGTTCTAAACCTAGTCTATACCTTTGTATCTAAACTAAGTGTATACCTTTGTTCTAAACTTAGTGTATACCATTGTTCTAAACCTAGTGTATACCATTGTACCACTTGCCGATATGACTCCATTGAGAGAGTAACGGTCGCCACCTATACCTACAGGTTGTCTACTTCACCGCCACATTTCCTTACGTCATTCTCATTGTGCTGTTGGTCAGGGGCGTTACTTTGGAGGGACACATTGAAGGAATCAAATTTTACGTCATTCCGGAATGGAGCAGACTTTTAGACCCAAAGGTACACAAGAAATAGTTCTTCTTGATTTATTTCTTGACATTTCTACTTTGAGTGGTAAAAGTTAGTTTTGGGGGTATTTGTTTCGCTTTCAAAACGGAAAATGTTGCCATACGTTTTTTTTTTAATTCATTTACCTTCATTGCTGTAAATAACAAAATGTAGAACTAGTTTTTTAAACGAACTGATGATATTCCAAAAACTTACCGTCCAGATTTGGGGGGGACGCTGCCACACAAATCTTCTACTCCATGGGCATCGGTTTCGGCGGGCTCCTCACCATGGCCTCCTACAACAAGTTCAGCAACAACTGCTACAGGGACGCCATCTTGGTCGGCTGCTTGGACTGCGCCACCGCCATTTTTTCCGGCTTCGCCATTTTTTCCATGCTGGGTCACATGGCTCACACGTCCAATAAAAAAGTCGAGGATGTCGCCACGTCTGGTGGGTGTGACATCTGTCACTGACAGAGCTCTAGTGTCTAAATAATTAATTGACATTGGTCTAGTGACTTATATTTTATAATTTGACATCTCTCACTATAGTCCCCAATGGCTTGTATGCAATGTGACATATTATGTAAACATAGGTCCTATTGAGTTAAACGCAATGTGACATTTATAAACAATCTATTGACGTATTTATAATATGACATTTGTCAGTGACACCATCAGTCCTAGTGATATAATGTGACATATATCACCATAGGTCCTGATGACATGTGACATCTATCACCAAAGGTCCTGATGACATGTGACATCTATCACCATAGGTCCTGATGACATAATGTGACATCTATCACCATAGATCCTGATGACATTGACATCTATCACCATAGGTCCTGATGACATAATGTGACATATATCACCAAAGGTCCTGATGACATAATGTGACACCTATCATCATAGGTCCCTGATGACATAATGTGACATCTATCACCATAGGTCCTGATGACATAATGTGACAGCTATCACCAAAGGTCCTGATGACATAATGTGACATCTATCACCATAGGTCCTGATGACATAATGTGACATCTATCACCATAGGTCCTGATGACATGTGACATCTATCACCATAGGTCCTTATGACATAATGTGACATCTATCACCATAGGTCCTAATGACATAATGTGACATCTATCACCAAAGGTGCTGATGAATGTGACATCTATCATCATAGGTCCTGGTCTGGCCTTCGTTGCCTACCCAGAAGGCATCTCTCAGCTTCCGGCATCGCCAGTGTGGGCGTTCCTTTTCTTCTTCATGCTCCTGACGCTTGGACTAGACAGTCAGGTAAAAAAAATGTGCCTGACAGTCAGGAAAAAAAATTACCTGACAGCCAGGTAAAACATTTACCTGACAGGTAAAATACTTTTTATACAGTTGTCATTTAAACCTGACAGGTAAGTATTAACCTATATCATATTTTACGTGAAATGGCTGTTTCATTGAATAATATTTCTTTAATAAGTGATGGGGGTTTTATTCATGTAAAAAAAATGTTAAACCGTATATGAGAAACGGTGGTGTGAAATAATGTCCCATTTCTTACCTAAACGAAATAGTAAACATTGCAAATCACACGTTTTCATGTAAAGAAATATGCCTTCTGCCTATCACACATACCCCCTTCACACTGACTCCCTTCTCACTAACCCCCATCAGGCCCCATCACACTGACCCCCATCAGACCCCATCACACTGACCCCCATCAGACCCCATCACACTGACCCCCATCACACTGACCCCCATCACACTAACCCCCATCAGGCCCCATCACACTGACCCCCCATCACACTGACCCCCATCACACTGACCCCCATCAGGCCCCATCACACTGACCCCCATCACACTGACCCCCATCACACTGACCCCCATCAGGCCCCATCACACTGACCCCCATCACACTGACCCCCATCACACTGACCCCCATCAGGCCCCATCACACTGACCCCCATCACACTGACCCCCATCACACTGACCCCCATCAGGCCCCATCACACTGACCCCCATCACACTGACCCCCATCACACTGACCCCCATCAGGCCCCATCACACTGACCCCCATCACACTGACCCCCATCACACTGACCCCCATCAGGCCCCATCACACTGACCCCCATCAGACCCCATCACACTGACCCCCATCACACTGACCCCCATCACACTAACCCCCATCAGGCCCCATCACACTGACCCCCCATCACACTGACCCCCATCACACTGACCCCCATCAGGCCCCATCACACTGACCCCCATCACACTGACCCCCATCACACTGACCCCCATCAGGCCCCATCACACTGACCCCCATCACACTGACCCCCATCACACTGACCCCCATCAGGCCCCATCACACTGACCCCCATCACACTGACCCCCATCACACTGACCCCCATCAGGCCCCATCACACTGACCCCCATCACACTGACCCCCATCACACTGACCCCCATCAGGCCCCATCACACTGACCCCCATCACACTGACCCCCATCACACTGACCCCCATCAGGCCCCATCACACTGACCCCCTTCAGACCCCATCACACTGACCCCCATCAGGCCCCATCACACTGACCCCCATCACACTGACCCCCATCACACTGACCCCCATCAGGCCCCATCACACTGACCCCCATCAGACCCCATCACACTGACCCCCATCAGACCCCATCACACTGACCCCCACCAGACCCCATCACACTGACCCCCATCAGACCCCATCACACTGACCCCCATCACACTGACCCCCATCAGACCCCATCACACTGACCCCCATCAGGCCCCATCACACTAACCCCCATCAGACCCCATCACACTGACCCCCACCAGACCCCATCACACTGACCCCCATCAGACCCCATCATCTTTAACCTCCATCACAGTGACCCCCATCAGACCCCATCACACTGACCCCCATCACACTGACCCCCATCAGACCCCATCACACTGACCCCCATCACACTGACCCCCACCAGACCCCATCACACTGACCCCCATCACACTGACCTCCATCAGGCCCCATCACACTGACCCCCATCAGGCCCCATCACACTGACCCCATCAGACCCCATCACACTGACCCCCATCACACTGACCCCCATCAGACCCCATCACACTGACCCCCATCACACTGACCCCCACCAGACCCCATCACACTGACCCCCATCAGACCCCATCACACTGACCCCCATCACACTGACCCCCATCAGACCCCATCACACTGACCCCCATCACACTGACCCCCATCAGACCCCATCACACTGACCCCCATCACACTGACCCCCATCAGACCCCATCACACTGACCCCCACCAGACCCCATCACACTGACCCCCATCAGGCCCCATCACACTGACCCCCATCAGACCCCATCACACTGACCCCCATCACACTGACCCCCATCACACTGACCCCCATCACACTGACCCCCATCACACTGACCCCCATTAGACCCCATCACAGTGACCCCCATCACACTGACCCCCATCACACTGACCCCCATTAGACCCCATCACACTGACCTCCATCACACTGACCCCAATCTTGCTGACCCATGTTTCTCCTCCAGTTTGGGATGTACGAGACTGTGATCTCTGGAATTTCCGATGTCTTCCCCAAGTACCTGCGCAAACACAAGACAACATTCACCCTTGTCATGTGTCTGATTGGCTTTCTGTTGGGGATTCCCCAGTGTACTCACGTGAGTAGCATTAACATAATTGTATTACCCCCCCCCCCCCCTCCACACACACACAGAAACACAAAAACAACACGCATACACACAAGTGTAGTCTAATCATGTGGGTAGAATTAACAGACTTATAGTTTAAGCAAATTTAAAACATTTTGCAGTTTTTTTTTTTAAATTCTTCAACATGCATTAATTTTTTTGCAAGTTGGCTACAAACGGAAAAATTTTAATTTCTTAAAATTGAGTATCTATGTCCATCCTTAAATGTATTTTTAGCCCTATTTTTTGTCATATCTATCCTGCTAATGTATTTTAGTCATATCTATCCTAATGTATTTTTAGTCCTATATATCTTGCTAATGTATTTTTAGCCCTATTTTTAGTCCTATCTATCCTGCTAATGTAATTTAGTCCTATCTATCCTGCTAATGTAATTTAGTCCTATCTATCCTGCTAATGTATTTCTGTCCTAGCTATCCAACTTATGTATTTTTTACCTATCTATCCTGCTAATGTATTTTTAGGCCTATCCATCCTTCAAATGTATTTTAGTCCTATCTATCCTGCTGAAGTATTTTAGTCCTATCTATCCTGCTCATGATTACAGGGTGGGATACTAGTCCTCACATTGCTGAATGACTACAGTGGCAGCTATAATCTGATGTTTGTGGCTCTGAGTGAGATTGTCTGTCTCTGCTATGTCTATGGTAAGTTTTGAATTGTTTATATGCAGCAGATTGTAAAGTCTGTAAGCATTTTGTTGTGACTTACTACCTCATCATTAACAAGAAAGAATAACTAAAATCAGTGTTTCTTTCAGGCATCATTTCAGGGGGCATTGCCACTCACTCCTCCACCCCCGAATGACAATATATATTTTTTTACCAGAGCTCCGTCCTCCCAGAAAAATTTAGTCCGCCTCCTTCTCAAAATTTTCAAGCACCCCCCCCCCCCCCCACACACACACACTTCCCAAAGAAAAAAGTCTGAAAGAAACACTGACTAAAATATACAATTCATACTCAAGAAAGCTTGTTTTATCAACCATCCTAACTTGTATCAACTATCCTAACTGGCAGAGTTTCTTCCAGGCATCTCTTCGGGGGGGGGGGGGACAAAGCCCCCCCCCCCCCCCGGAAATTTTTTACCGCCCCCCCCCCCCCCGAACGAAATGAAATTTATATAATTTATATAGAAAATATATACTTTTAACAGTGTCCGCTCCCCCCCCCCGAAGAAAGTTTACCCCCCCCCCCGAAGCTTTCAAGTGCCCCCCCCCCGGAGAAAAAAGTCTGGAAGAAACACTGCTAACTTGTATCAACTATCCTGACGTGTTTTAAAATAACAGGGATCAAAAACTTCTGCTCCGACATTGAAATGATGGTGGGATCTAAGCCGTCGTGGTATTGGGTGGTCATGTGGGTGGTGGTGACGCCTGTGGTCATCCTGGTGAGTACTGAGATGACATGTGACACACAAACGACATGTGACACACAAAGGGCACAGTTTCTCATCATCATGATGTTATCATCTATCAGTTTCTCATCATGATGTTATCATCATCCTACAGTTTCTCATCATCATGATGTTATCATCTTACAGTATCTAATAATGATGTTATCATCTCACAGTTTCTCATCATCATCATGTTATCATCTTACAGTTTCTCATCATCATGATGTTATCATCTTACAGTTTCTCATCATCATGATGCTATCATCTTACAGTTTCTCATCATCATGTTATCATCTTACAGTTTCTCATCATCATGTTATCATCTTACAGTTTCTCATCAGCATGATGTTATCATCTTACAGTTTCTCATCATCATGATGTTATCATCTCACAGTTTCTCATCATCCTGATGTTATCATCTTACAGTTTCTCATCATCATGATGCTATCATCTTACAGTTTCTCATCATGATGTTATCATCTCACAGTTTCTCATCATCATGATGTTATCATCATCACGATGTTATCATCATCATGTTATCATCTCACAGTTTCTCATCATCATCATGTTATCATCTTACAGTTTCTCATCATCATGATGTTATCATCATCATGATGTTATCATCATCATGATGTTATCATCTTCCAGTTTCTCATCATCATGATGTTATCATCTTACAGTTTCTCATCATGATGTAATCATCTCACAATTTCTCATCATCATGCTGTTATCATCTTACAGTTTCTCATCATGATATTATCATCTATCTTTTTTTCATCATCATGATGTTATCATATTACTACAGTTTCTCATCATCATCATGTTATCATCATCATGATGTTATCATCTCACAGTTTCTCATCATCATGATGTTATCATCTCACAGTTTCTCATCATGATGTTATAATCATCCTACAGTTTCTAATCATCCTGATGTTATCATCTCACAGTTTCTCATCATCTTGATGTTATCATCTTACAGTTTCTAATCATTATGATATTATCTCACAGTTTCTCATCATCATGATGTTATCATCGTACTGTTTCTCATCATCATGATGCTATCATCTCACAGTTTCTCATCATGATGTTATTATCTATCAGTTTCTCATCATCACGATGTTATCATCTTACATTATCTAATAATGATGTTATCATCTTACAGTTTCTCATCATCATGATGTTATTATCTATCAGTTTCTCATCATCATGATGTTATCATCTTACAGTTTCTCATCACGATGTTATCATCTCACAGTTTCTCATCATCATGATGTTTTCATCTTACAGTTTCTCATCATCATGATGTTATCATCATCACGATGTTATCATCATCATGTTATCATCTCACAGTTTCTCATCATCATGATGTTATCATCTGACAATTTCTCATCATCATGATGTTATCATCTTACAGTTTCTCATCATCATGATGTTATCATCACCATGATGTTATCATCTTACAGTTTCTCATCATCATGATGTTAGCATCTTACTACAGTTTCTCATCATCATCATGTTATCATCATCATGATGTTATCATCTCACAGTTTCTCATCATCATGATGTTATCATCTCACAGTTTCTCATTATCATGATGTTATCATCTTACAGTTTCTCATCATCATGATGTTATCATCACCATGATGTTATCATCTCACAGTTTCTCATCATCATGATGTTATCATCTCACAGTTTCTCATCATCATGATGTTATCATCTCACAGTTTCTCACCATCATGATGTTATCATCTTACAGTTTCTCATCATCATCAACGCCGTACAGTACACGCCCTCCGGCTATGATGGCAAACAGTTCCCTGATTGGGCAGAGGGTCTAGGCTGGGTCATGGTGACCTTCCCATTGGCTGTTGGCCTGGTTGTGGCCGTGGTACAGGTCTACAGGCTTGGCTGGGTAAGTCTAGGTGTATTTTTCCTACTCTCTTTATGTTTCCAACTTTTCCAACATCCTTGTTGACAGTTCGCAATCCCCATCCTCATCCAATTAACTGCAAGAAATCAGCATGTAAAAGAAAAAAAGAGAAAACTTTCTCTTACTAAGATTAAGAAACAGTGTTTCTTCCAGACTTTTTTCTCTGGAGGGGGGTGGGGTTACTTGAAATTTTTGGCGGGGCGGACTATAAATTCCATTTCGTTCGGTGGTGGGGGGGGGGGGATAGACTGGAAGAAACTCTGTCCATAAATGACATCACGCTTTCTAGCCCATTCCTTCCTCTACTTTGGCGTCCCATCAATATTCTCCCCCCCCCCCCCCCCCCAGGGTTTCTTTTAGACTATTTCCTATGTGGGGTCACTTGCAGTTTAAAAATCAAATAAGCAGTTTAGGAGAGGGGAAAGACTAAAGTGTCAGCGCGATGTCTGATGTGTTGTGTATGCTTTGAGGCGAGGGGTGAAGGAATTTAAAAGCATGACGTCATATAAGGACGATTCTTTAGCTGGACTTAATTTCCCCAGCAGGACAGTATCCGGCCCACGTCCGACTGGGGTCCAGCCCTAGAGGTCAACAGGACCGGACGTTACGCGACTGACGTCACGGGGTCGCTCCATGTCAGCAACGGTGACCTGTCCTTTGACCTCCTGGAGAAGAAGCTCGACGCTGAGGGGATAACGGCTTTCGACAACCTTGGCCTTGAACTTGACGAAATCAACCACCGGTTTTAACATCGGAGAAGCGACGACACGTTGTGTTCATTATTTTAACTTCATAATTAATTATTGAATTAAGTTTTCTACATTCCATTGTAAATGTGTGGCTTTATGTAAAAGATCTAAATGCTTTTATTTATTATATAAATTAAAATAAAATACAGAATTTTTAAAAATATATAATTAAAATAAAATTTGTATGCTGGTGTTTAGTTTACTGTATAATTACCACAATTATCTGATGCAAAGTTAGCTGCACTGCGACTTTTGGCTATACATTATAATAGGTTTCAATATTGTTTTCAAAAGTCTTGTTCTCATATTACCTTTGGACATTTTTCTCAGAGATTGGGAACTTGAATTTTCCGTGAGAGGGGACAATGGTTAAAAAATATTTTTCTTTTTAAATTTAGTATATTTTTTTTATAATATCGTCCGGGAGTGTGAGAGAGAAGGGTGGGTGGACTTGCTAATTCTCTGTGGTCAATTCCTATTACAATTTATTAAAACAGTTTTCTAAAACGCGAAATAGCGGTTAAAATTCGTTTTCTAACATTGCATTTTTAATGCAAAAGTGTGACGTCACACCATTTGAATCCCCACTCCCTCTCAATACTCTCATCACACAACCGTCACAAAATTACAGACCTCCCCCCCCTACTAGTGTGACGTCATTTATGGACAACCCTTTGTGTGTTTTAGTTAGACTAACAATAGCTGTTATTAGATCACTTCTTAACACTTAAGGGGGAAGGCTCCGGTAAAAAAAAACTTTTTTAATACTCGTTAGAAAACAGTTATTTCGTCACAGCTTTATTAAGATACATCCGCATATGCATTTCTACTAAAAAATTTTTTTGAAAAATCTTGGTAACTATGACAACGGCGGCCATCTTGAAAAATTAACCCCTTCGTAGGTTTTCCACCATTCACAAAATATTACATTTTAAGCCCAATAAACAATCAATTCATAATCTACTTCCATATTTTGGGGCATTCAGCTAAACATTTTAATTGCATATCATCAAACTAATTTTTTATGAATTTTCAAAATATGTGTCCGTTCAAAACACTTAACTTTGGGGAATTTTGGGGCATTAAAACTAGTGTTTTGAACAGACACACATTTTGAAAATTCATAAAAAATTAGTTTGAAGATATGCACTTAAAATTTTTAGCTGATTGCCCCAAAATATGGAAGAAGATTATGAATTGATCGTTTATTGGGCTAAAAATGTAATATTTTGTGAATGGTGGAAAACCTACGAAGGGGTTAATTTTTCAAGATGGCCGCCGTTGTCATAGTTACCAAGATTTCTTCAAAAATTTTTTTAGTGGAAATGCATATGCGGATGTATCTTAATAAAGCTGTAAACAAATAACTGTTTTCTAACGAGTATTAAAAAAGTTTTTTTTTACCGGAGCCTTCCCCCTTAACTGGCCTTAACATAAGAAAACCTGTGGACCTTTTTTTTTAAACAATACCCCGGTGACTTTTGAAACGTTCAAACTACTAATGACTGGTTATATATATATATATATATATATATATATATATATATATATATATATATATATATATATATATATATATATATATATATATATATATATATATATATATATATATATATATATATATATATATATAGATAGATAGATAGATACATAGGGGACCATAATTCATTGGATGCAATCGATAAAATTATTTCTGAAGTACTAGATCTAAGTAGTTTCCCTTTATCATTTTAGTAAGATCGATGAATTTACTTATTCGGAATTAGACCTAGATCTAAGTTTGGATCTGAAATTGATATCGATCAGGTATTACAATTAGACAGCAGTTTTATAAATATGATACTCTAGCTGCTCAACGGATATAAATCTAATTGTCTAAAAGATAATTATTAATTAACTCGACGATTTTCGCTTGGTTACGTTTTTTTGTTTTTTTTTGGGAATTCCCACTTCTTTGGAATTTCCCAACAACCCATGTTGAACATTCACAACTAGACTAGATCTAGACTAGATTCTAGATCTAGAATTTTGATTCTTATTCTAGAATAGATCTTAGCTGAGCTTGATCTAGATCTTGGCTCTAGAATCTACTACTACTTTTTAGTTAGTAGTCAAGTGAAGCTGCGTAAGTAAGTCGTCTGATAGAAATCTAGATCTGTCTAGAGTCTAGAGTCTCTAGCTAGCTAGACTCTAGATAAGATTATTTCTTGTGGTGGTAATCTATCGTTTTAGGTACGTAAAATCGCCCGCGACTTGTAATGTGAAAAACAGGTGACTCCTTAAATTTTAATAATTATTTCACATTTTGAGGAGGATTTATGTTTTTTAAAATACAAACAAACTGAAACATGTTTCCTTGTTTCATTTATGACAATTTATGTACCTGTTTTTAAACAATTGAATTAAAACTTTTCCATAATAAATTAAGACTAGTGATGTTTCCAACAGATGCAACCATGCTCATTTACTTTAGCAGCCACCTTGTTTAAGTTTTATTTTTATAAGCTTATAGCATGAGATTCAGGGGGAAGCCACTCTATTTTACAAATGGCTGCTGTTTATATAGCAAATCTTGCTCTCAGACACTGCTGTTTAAAGTTAATTTCTGGCCTATATCGATTTATTTAGTGATTTAGGTTTATTATTCATTTATCTATAATATTTGACACAAAAATATGACAATAGACTTCTATTAAATATTAAACTATTTAAAGCCTTGACAATGAAGTAACGTTTTCATACATTAATAGCCGCTGGCGATTTTACGTACCCAAAACGATAGATTACCCTTGTAGTAAATAAAGTAAAGTACTGAAAAAAAAATTCATAAAAAACGTTTTAATAACAAGCTTTTATGTAATAAAGTAATAATGCACTAAAACTGTAGAAAATAAATTATAGACTACTATTTAAATAACTACAAAGAAAAGCGTGGGTCACTTTAGTATCTATTGGATACCTTTACTAGCTATTTAAATAGTAGTCTATAATTTATTTTCTACTTTTTAGTGCATTATTACATAAAAGCTTGTTATTAAAATGTTTTTTTATGAATTTTTTTTCAGTACTTTACATGTTTTATTTACAATAGACTAATAGAGTTATATGACTAAAAACCATTGCGTGCCTACTGAACGTGATGGCGCAGCTATTGAACGTGATGATGCGTGTGGTGTGGTTGGATAGACATGCCTACTAATTCTGTCCAAATTTTAATTAATTCATAAAAAATTAATTAGGCATCCAATTAAGTCAAATTTAATTTCAGATTACATTGTCTTCATGCCTTGACCCACTCCGGCGTTTCGATCTAGACAGACTGATGACAGAGGAAGTGAGTTAAATAAAAGCTTGTAAAAAATAAGGCCTACTAGATCTAGATCTAGATTTAAGTACAGTACCAAACTTAAACACCTAACTAGTAAGCCTAACTACTAACTATTAACTAATAATAAACTATTTACTAGACTACATACTATACTACTATAAATTAGTAGCCGGATCTAGATTCTAGATCTAATTTTTTTTTGTCTAGTCACCTTACTAATTTTAGAGTGACCCCTCTCACCTCAGATTTCTTTCTTATTCATTCTTAAGACTTAATCCTATTCAATATTCTTACTAAACAGATATAAGTATTGCATGACAAAATGTTTCAGCATCTTTAACCATAAATTGCCATAATACCTTAATTACTAATTAGGGCTTATAATACTCAAAGTCCATTAACATAGGCTACTAACCACACTTGACTATACCTTATTTGTCACAGAAACAGCTAAACTCTACTTAAAATACCTCATGGAGTATCAAATACTTTCATGCCAGAAATGGAACTTAACTTGTTTACTTATTTACTGAGTTTGGTATTAATGACTAATGTTATTACTTTATGCAGGAAACAAGCATTAATTAAGTCATTAATTAAGGATGCATTAAATGATAAATATTTTTGATGAAGGTGAATATCTTGTTCATGATGAGTGGGGTTATAAATTAACTTTAAAAAACAGTGGCGAGATTTAATTGATGGACAAATCCAGAAGCATTTTTAGTATGTAAAGTTAAAATTGTTAACACATGTTCAATTTGCCCATGATTGATGTGTCTGACATATTGAGAGCGGAGGAGGCAGTTAAATTTCTGTCCGTGATTTAACATTGCGAATTGACAAAGATGACACTAAATGGCATTTCAACATTTCATATTATTTCCATAATATAAATCCACTAATTAAAAATTACAAATTACAATCTCTAAAAATATCCTGTAAATACCTGTAATACTATATGACTACAATGGTTGTTTTTTTTTTTTTTTTTTATCTACTCTTAAGATTTTTTTCAGAACTCATCATTGCAGATAGTATAGTCCAATTCATTGCATCCCAAATATGAGCTTTAATTTTGGTGAGTATTTTATTTTAATTTTTTTATGGGGGGGGGGGGGGATTTTAAAAAAATGTCATCTATGGATGACCCCTATAATATAGATTTAAAATAGATTGGAATTAAAATCTGTTAATAATTATTATAGGCATGTTGGTATAAACTCATATAAAATCAGCTGTTCTTTTTATTTAAAGATTGGCCCATATTTAAATTTTCAATAGATTTTTATAACTTTGTTCTAATCCTTGACCACTTTGGTGTAAAGGGTACTGGACTCTTTTTTTGTTTTATTGTTCAGATCTTTAAATTTAACATACTTTTCATAACATAAAAGTTACTTAACAAAAAGTGCTTGATCATGATAGATTTATTCATTTATTATTATAAAATAATGAAGAAAAAATGCAGGTTCTTTGAATTTGTTTTTCTACTAATCATATTAATTTTAAGTTACCAGTAAGTCAGTTCCTTTTATTTTTGCTCTTTGTTGTTGAATTGGAGATTTCCTCCAACAAAACTATTACATTGCCAACCAGAGACGTAGCCACCAATTCCGGCACCTGGGGCGGAATATCAATTTTGCTCATACTCCCTCCTATTTCTATATATAGTTATTCCTGTCTGTGAAAAAGCGGATCCCCCACCCAGTTGGAAAGATTTATAGCGCTTCTTACCAGTAACTATCCAGTAGCATTTTCTATTTCGGTGTCAGAAAATTGTTAAATCTGTGTAAAGTAGTCGTTTATTTTCGTCAAATATTGTTCTGACTGTGTATAATTCAATACTTCTGCTTAAAATGAGCTTTTAAATTAATTTTTATACCCCTGTTGGCACCCTCTTAGGATGGGTGGCACCCGCCATCCCCTACTAACACTAGTTTTGCCAACTTGTGCTGTGTCGTATGGCCCAGCTTTAGCCAGCCTTTCTAAATATATATATATGCTTCCGTTGCCTTTGCCCACCTTAGAACATCTGCAAGGCAGCAGTTGTTTGATTTCAAAGTTTATTGTACATGTTTGTTTTTTAGAATCAGACACTGAGTGTGTGGTGGTGGATCTAATTCTACTAAATGGTGAAAAAAAAGACAACATTAGTATTTGCACCAATGCTCTAGTTTCAGAGGTAATGTATTCCAAAATATTTTAGTAAAATAACAGCTACTTAAACTTGACAAATGATATTTCTATTATTTATATACCAAACCTACTTAATTATAGGAAAATCATGCTAGACTAATTGAAATAAATGTATTTCTGATTTTAATGATTTCAGGAGAAACACAGAATCTTACATGAGTACAATATAATTGAACCTGATTTGAAACTTGTGATTGTTGCACAAAATGGTAGTGAAATGGTTATGGATGAAGATGAAGAAATGAGCAAATATGTCAGTACACTAGCAGGAAGTAACTTAGAAATTAGACGAAGGTAGGTTTATTCAAGATTCTTTTTTATTCTTATACATCTCATTTATAAGACTATAAGTTAAGAATATTCGAGAAAGTTTAGGGGAGATCACTCCCGGTTCATTTTGTTTTATTACCTTGTTAATTTTAACCCTTTCCCCGGCAACATATTTGGTACCCTGTCCCCGGCAACTGGGTGGATCACACCCAAAGACTTTCTTATAGTAAATTCTTTTCTTTGTTCATTGTGGGGTAGGTAACAATACTGACACAGTTAAGGTATTCAGGGCACAGAGGCCATGGGGAACACAAGAGATGTTGTTGTCAATGGGAGAGCTGTAATATGATACTAGTGGTTGGTGGGATTCTCAAGCTAGAGTTAACCTCTGGGTGGACACATGTAGTGATTTATACTCTTTGCTGGAGCTCTGACTTGCAGTTACAGACAGAACTGTAGTTTAGAGTTACAATAGGTTAATGAAATGCAGGGGTAAGATTGCCTGTGGGAGGACATATATAGTGATTTGTACTCTTTTGGAGCTCTGGAATGTAGATAGAGACATTCGAGCCTTTTAGAGAAACTTTACATTTACCTCATTAGGAGTACCAATGAGGACAAAAAGGCAAAACAACTTTGTAATGCTGCTTGTAAGTTAATACTGGGCAATAAATTGATCAAACTGGAAGTGGGGTGGGTGTTCTACAGGTTGTGACCCTGAGAGTAAGGTTTATAAATAGTCACAAACGTTATTGAGAACACAACAGAAACAAGTTTTGAACGCTTTTGTCTAAACTCAAGTGCTAATGATAAAGGAATATATTTGCCAGTTTTAGTATAGCAGGTGAAAATGACCAACAAGTTTTGAGTCTGAACTATTAGTATCAGAGGTAGAAGATGGAGAATGGCAGCCATCAGTATCAGAGCTAGAAGATGAAGAATGGCAGCCATCAGTATCAGAGGTAGAAGATGAAGAATGGCAGCCATCAGTATCAGAGGTAGAAGATGAAGATTGGCAGCCATCAGTATCAGAGGTAGAAGATGAAGAATGGCAGCCATCAGTATCAGAGGTAGAAGATGAAGAATGGCAGCCATCAGTATCAGAGCTAGAAGATGAAGAATGGCAGCCATCAGTATCAGAGCTAGAAGATGAAGAATGGCAGCCATCAGTATCAGAGGTAGAAGATGAAGAATGGCAGCCATCAGTATCAGATGTAGAAGATGAAGAATGGCAGCCATCAGTATCAGAGGTAGAAGATGAAGAATGGCAGCCATCAGTATCAGAGGTAGAAGATGAAGAATGGCAGCCATCAGTATCAGAGCTAGAAGATGAAGAATGGCAGCCATCAGTATCAGAGCTAGAAGATGAAGAATGGCAGCCATCAGTATCAGAGGTAGAAGATGAAGAATGGCAGCCATCAGTATCAAGCAGCTCTGATGACGAGGTCTACCCAATATACTGCATTTCAACTATCAATAATGTGTCAACAGTTGGCACTCATAATGAAATGAAACGGCTGGTGCAAAGTGAAGAAAAAGAAATATTTTCAGGAAAGACAAAGTAACAGTACACTAGACCACTGCCTGAAGTGCTAATCCCAGGAAATTTATAAACAGTCTGACCCTAAATATTTCTTCTGTGCATGAATACAAAAAATAATACAACCAATATTTGACTGCATTAGCAGAGATGGAGAGAAAGCAAGAGGAGACACTGGCACTCTGCAGAATAACAATTTAGTTGTATGTCAATTCAGTTCTGCTTATGAAGTTTTTGAAGGCAGAATTTTCTATGAAGAAATTCAGCAACCTTCTGGGTCATATTCACTTCACAACAATAACACTAAGTCCATTATGGTAGATATTCCATTCAAATTTAGAAAGGTGTTATGTTTCTGGAGAGATCATTACTAATTAGCAAGTGGTTGATTTTAGAGGTGGGAGTAGATTTATCCAATACACACCAAGCAATTCCGATAAGTATGGAATTAAAATATTTTGGACATGTGACTCATGTAACACCACTAAAAGGGTGCCCATATTTTATAAAAAAAACAACAAAAGTTCCCTGCCAGCAAAGGAAATGTCCAGTTATTTTAATTTTAACTAACAACTGTGCTCTCTGATGTGCAAATTATTAAAACGTGTTAATGTTCTAATATTTTGTTACTAAAGTTGATTACTTCAATTGGTTTGATATTTTTGTTACTCAAATACCTTCAGATTGTTAATTTATAGTTAAACTTTGAAAATGTAACACAATGACTTAACCCACAATGAGTAAAAACAAATTGTTAGAAGCCAGTTTATAAGTTATAAATATTTTTTCCATTCAAAATTGTGTACGGGTGTGTAGCACCCAGTTGCCAGGGACCGTATAAAAAAATTTCAAACCCTCATAAAAAAAATTTTTACGCATATTTTTAAAATTTACAACCTCCAATGTGTTCATCCCAACGACCTTATAGATGGGAATGAGGCCCAGAAAAATTTATAAAACGAGACTCAAGATATGAGCAAAAGTATAGCGACTTCGGGTCGATTACACCCAGTCGCCGGGGAAAGGGTTAAAGGGAAAAAAGTTCTCAAAATGTTCAAATCAATTACTTTATGAAATAGAAGAATTACAATTTTAGGACCAGGGCAATGCAGAAGTGTGAGTGTGACATTATTTTAGGGATTATTTCATTATGTCTTGTTTTGTGATTGTTACATCCCTTGTATTGTGTATATCGTGGTTACTTCCCTTGAGTGTTCAGTGTCTTCAGTGATGTGTGTACCTGTTTGTCAGTTAACGAAAGATAGAGTCAGAGGCAGTGCTTGTCGACTGAACGCGTGTATATAAGAATAAAGTACTAGAGTTACCACGTTAGGGAAAATAAAGGCGGCTGGGCATAGTGCTGACCACACTATCTCTTTATATGCAGAGGTCACAGAAACAAGTGAACTCTACTTCACTTGCCTTATAAACCGTCAAGTTTGAAAAGGAAACTTTAATTTTTTACTAGAGTTAACTCAAAGAACTGTGTCCATTTAAGTAAAGTAACAAATGGGCAAACAGTGTGACATTCATGAACAACCCATCACTGACATATTATAAATTAACATATATAATGTATGATTATAATTCACTTATATTTAGAGATAAGCATGAACATACTATAAAATGTGAACAAGCTTTGAATTTTTTTGTAAATGTGTAGCTGAAAAACATTTGATTTCTGAGGGTGTTTGGTGTTACCTGTTATTTAAAATTTTTTAATGAATTTGCTCTGTCTGTCGGCTCTAAAAAAAACAATATATTGCATACATTTGAATAACGATGAATTTTTTACCTATTATCCCTATATTTTTTTTATTTTCAGAAATAGTCCAACTAGGTCTAGTGGTTACAGTGAAAATCTCAGCCTATTAAAATGCCACATAAAACAAGCACCAGATAATTGAATGACAAAATTTTTAGATATTTGTAATAAATTGTTTTTAATTTATCAAATCTTGCGTGTTATTCAATTGTTAAAACTAATGATTAGTTTAAATCAACCTTAATAATCTGTAGAAATTAATTTCAAAAATTTTTAAAATGACACAAACTAATACATCAGCTTCTAGACTGTTATACCTAAATGAACATAGTAATAGTAGCTATTGTGTCTAAAAATAGAGAAGAAAATACTTATGCAGAACACATTTTGTTTGTTTTGATGGGTCATTCTTCTAAAACATGTAAATAAAAGCATTAATTAAACTATTTAAAAAATTGAACCTAAGAAGATGTATAGTGATATAGCTTAATTTTCTTTGATATCAAACCATTGTCTTACCCATAAATGCAAACTTGATATTAAAATAAAATGTTATGAAATTAGTAAGACTTTGTTTTTATAAAACTTTCTATAGATATGGATAACAACTGGTAGATGTTTTAAAGGATCTCAGTGACTAATATTTTATGTTTCATGTCTTCTTGTAACTATGGCAACCAAAATGTGTTGTTTTCTTATTTTTAATGTGATTATTACCTCCCATCACCAATCGAAACTATTTTTCCATCCAATTCACCCTCAAGCTTTTTTTAAGAAGTAGAATTGCTAGCCTAACATTAACAGCTAAATGTTATCACTGCAATACCCACTTATATGATGGACTTGTGGCCAAGAGATGAGCTGGTTTGAAAATATATTGCACAGACAATATGTAAACCCTCTAGATCTAGATCTGCAGCGCTTTTGAAACGACACTGGCATACATTTTTTTCTTTTTAGAAAAACGCGTTTAATACCTGACAGCATCTCCACACACAAAAAAGGGTTAGATCTATATGCTCCTGGCAGTATGTTAAGTGAAAACTTCATTATTTGGATTTTCTTGGTGCCTCATTCAGAAAGACGGGTATAGATGCCTTCAGTAAATGTACAGATACCTTCCTAAATAAAATAAAAACACCATTTTAAAGACAGCGACCACTTGATGTGGACTTTTATTAATTATATGAGACGGTAAGCCTCATAATACAGACGATCTCAAAACGGCGTCTTCTTATTAACTTAGGTCTATAGCAGGGGTCGGCAACCTGCGGCTCTGTTGATGTCAGGATGCGGCTCTCCAGCTCCTTGCACAGATATTAATAGTTATATTATTTTATTTTCAAAAATCATGACAAAAATTTTACTGTAAAGAAAAACAAGTTTAAACAGAAGAATAAAACTCATCAGAGAACAATGCGAATATGTGCACTAGAAAGTATACGGACAGACGCTTGGGCACCAGGCCCATCATCACAGCTGTGTTGTGGCCAACAATTCCATGCTTGCCACTGTCAAAGTGCCGACTTTTTCGAATATCGTTAAATGTGGAATGTTATTTTATTCAGAATGCATTTCCCTATAAGTCGGTAATCATTTTAATTTGACGTGAGTGACGTAGTTTTTTTTTAGTTATTAGCTTCCTACTGTTGAGTCGGGTACTGGACGGCGGGGTACGAGTTTACCCTGCATTCATTGGGGTGGAAGATAAGCCTGGTGAGAACCGAAGAACAGAAGCGACCGATACACGGTAATCAAACCGATACCTAAGCCAGAAGGGCAAACAGTTATCAGTTTCTAAAGTGGATTGCGACAGTCCTATATTTTTATTTTTTTATTACTAATTTCATTATTCTGGCAAAACAAGTGTATGTTTTTATATGAAAAAATATTATTTCATATTTAAATCAAATGTATTTACCTATTCCTAATCAAATAATAAAATATTGAAATAAAAAACAAAATGTTAGTGGCTCTTTAAAAACTGGGAAATTTTGAAAATTGTAACTTTTGGCTCTTTCGTCTCAAAAGGTTGCCGACCCCTGGTCTATAGGCCTATATCTACTATATTACGTTTTTTTTAACACGTGTTTTTTGTTGTTTTTTTAAATTGCGCCACTGTCAGGGAAATGCTTTCAGTGAGAGCAGCTGCTGGCACCTGGATACGCCTCTGATTCAATTTACTCCTGTTGTGTTTTTACTTTTTAATAGTGCCCATATAGATTTTTTAATAGGCTTTTTATAGATCTTTATTATAGGCCTAAATCATAGTGCTTTAATATTAGGGCTAAGTGCATTATCACAACAAAAAAATTTTCAGTAAAATAATTATAGCTCTGCTGTTTAACTTATTTAAGCTGAAGAAAATGTAGATTTTTTTCATAATTATTTAGGCCTAAAGTCTTGATATTAAAATGCTTTTTTTTTTAAATACGATTTTAACGAAGGTCTAGATTTCATAACGGCCGTAAAAGCCCTTTTCTGTGAGCCTACAGTACTACTAGGCCTAACACATAACCAAATATTGGCCAGATAACTGTTAACTTTATGGCCATTTTACTGATTTAGTATGAATTTAGGTGTAGATCTAGTCATAAGTCGTTTAGCCGATTCCATTTAATAATCACTATAATAACTGATATTGTTTTTTATACAGTACGAGATACTTTTGATCAAATTAATAATGAAATGCTAGTTAGATCTAAATAACACATGGATTAAGATAATCTTAAAGTAGAACCAGAAAGTAAAAGTACGGAAATACCCGCAACTTTCTTAGAAACTGGAAAAAAATACAAACAAAAAATTTATTGTTGTGTTCGTTATCGTCACACGACATCAATGCTCAAGCCGGGTAATAAGCAAAATCTAGATCTACTATTAATCTTTAGGTATAGTCATATAATTCTTTAAAATATAATTTGACTTCCTGCTAAATTATGTATTTACGTTTAAATGGACATGTTATTAGTAAACTAATATTATGTTACTGTTAGTGTTGTAGTTAGTAGTCAATGGACACAGACACCTCGCTAAATAATAAATATGGACTAAATTTTAATTTCAGTTGATTGGTTGACCAGGACCATCAAGCAGATAATAATCTTAGATCTAAATCCAAAATTAATAATTATTAGACAGAGGCGTAGCGACCCTTCCCGGCGCCCGGGGCGAACTTTCAATTTGGCGCCCCCCCCCCCGCTTATATATATATATATATATATATATATATATATATATATATATATATATATATATATATATATATATATATATATATATATATACATGTGTGTGTGTATAATTATGTGTGTGTGATAGTGTGTTTATATATAAGCTTGTGTGTGGGTAAGAGTGTATTTGTGTGTGTAAGCGTGTGTGTAAGCGTGTGTGCTACAGTCCGGACAAGGTTTAATAATTACATTGTATGATTTTCATTTCTTAAAACTTTACGACAATTCAATTCCCATTAAGATGCGTTTAACTTTTTTTGCGAAAGATTAGTAATGTCAGTAAAAAAAAAATAAGCCTGATCTGTGTTAGAGGGTAGTTTGTAGCTAACGCTAATATGTTTAGACCAGCCTTTTATGTTCTAGTTTTGTAACGATCTCTGTTGTGATATGGTACATAGTTGGATTCGAAGTTTGTTAGAATAAGGACACACAAGTGACATACAAGAAGAAGTTATCAGAAATATTTATTGTTCACATTGGAATACGACATGGGTATTTCGTTGATTGGTTGATGGTATGACAAAACAAGCTAGAGAAAACAAACTGGAATCCAACGGATGTTAACAGCTCGTAGTCTTGGATTTCGCAGATTTGCCCTGCCTTCTCGCACACAGAGTTTCTTCCAGGCATCTCTTCGGGGGGTGGGGGGCGAAGCCCCCCGAAAAATCTTTACCGCCCCCTTGAACGAAATGAAATTTATATAATTTATATATAGAAAATATATACTTTTAACAGTGTCCGCCCCCCCCCCCCCCCGAAGAAAGTCTACCGCCCCCCCCCCCCCCGATAATTTCAAGTGCCCCCCCCCCCCGGAGAAAAAAGTCTGGAGGAAACACTGCTCGCACAACGTTAACAACAAATGCAGAACTAATTGTATTGATTGAAGAAGCAGTAACAATCAATTTAATGATAGCCCATGACGTTCTGATTATAATCAGCAGCAATAAAACGCGTTTTAACACTCTAAGAAAATATGGAATTCAAATGCATTGTCAAAAAAATTCAAACAGGATCTATAACTAAATGTGGTCTCTTTTACTGTATGGCTTGGAGCTAGATTACAGACAGTGGAGAATGAAATAAGAGCATGGAAAAAAGTGGTGGTTAGTGGCTTAGGGATTCAAGAATCCGTGATATTTAGTTCTCTTTAATATAGTTCAGTGATCCAGGTAAGATGTAATGCAATCAATCAAAAGTATCTGATCTCTCACGTTGAAGTTGAGAGAATCGTAAGAATCTTACAAAGAAATAGTCGCGTCTTTTTTTTTAACAAAACTGGCTAGTGAAATTGTACATTACGCGTAAATACACTTTGTTTTTTTTTTCGCAAGTGTTAAGAGAGTTATCTAGTCACCAATCCAGTACAAATACTTGCGATTTTTGTTAGCAAAAAAAGCGCCCCACACACACACTCATCACAACCATCTTGGACAAAGTTTGTAGAGCGGTTTTTAACGTAACTAACTTTTTTTAAAAAATGTTACACAATTATACAATGCACAGTACAATTCGTTTCTTTCTGAGAGCTAAAGGTTGTTTACTCAGAATCCTGTGTAATTTTGCTATTTTATTTAGCCTAAAAGCGCCCCCCCCCCCCCCCCGCACCATCTTGATAAAAGTCACTAACGTATTTTACAGTTCAACAATCGTACAATACGTTTTAATACAATTGGTTTCTTTTAATAGTGGTAACGTTTATCGACTCAACAATCTAGTGTAAATTCTTCCGATTTAAGTCTCGAAAAAGCGCCCCCCCCTCCCATCTAGGAAAAGCTTCAAAGCGGTTTTGCCGGTCACTGTTTCTTAAGAGTATATGTTTTACATTAAGAAATCAAGGTAGAAGACAGTTAAATCAGTATGTAAAGGCGTGTAGCCATTACATTTCTTAACTTAGACAGTTTATAATTCAAAACTGCAGCATAAAATCAGCTTTAAAATTTTTTTCCCACCCCTTTTGGCGCCCCCATAGGGTCGGCGCCCGGGGCGGCCGCCCCCCCCGCCCCCCCCTAGCTACGCCTCTGTTATTAGACGTTACGCGTATGAGGTGGTCCATAAACGACGTCATGCTCCTGGGGTGGGGGGGGGGGGGGCTGTTGTGTAGGTGGTGGGAGGTTTTGATACTGTGACACACTTCTGCATTCTCGATATAAAAAATAGAAACCAAGTTTAGGCACTAAAAATGCATGAATAAATTAAATGTGTAATGTCATTTTTTTTTTTAGAATTTTAGGGGGCTGACTTTTTCATAACCATGATTGGGGTGGGGGATTTGTGTGATGTGGTTTATTAATGGATTAGGCAGTTGAGCTTAATTTGATAAGCTTGGTCGCTAAAAAAATAAAGCCTAGTTGTAGTAATCTGAAAATCATAATTTATACTAGAGTCTAGTGCTCAGCTGTAGAAAGCAAACATAAACTTGCTCTAATTGACTAACAATAAGTAGTATCTTTAACTTGTTATACTAGTTTGAAAAAAATTGAGACTACAATCTATCTACTCTTTTATTGGAATTAAGTTAGAGAATGGGTATAGCTGCTATCTATAGATTTTGAGATAATCGGTGCTAAAGTCGGGTCCTCATGAGGCCAAAAAGGTAAAAAAAAAATGCGTGTTTCTTAAGCGTATAACTTTTTTTCTAATTGTCCTACACACATGAAGTTGGTATCCATGTTCTTAGAATTATTAGTACTAGGGGGTCATCCATAAATGACGTCACGCTTTTTTGGACGATTTTTACCCCCCCCCCCCCTCCCCTCCGTCACACTTCGTCACAAAAAGCCAGACTAAACTATTACAATTTATTAAAACAGTTATCTAAAACGCGAAATAACGTCTAAAATTAGTTTTCTAACATTGCTTTTTTATAATGCAAAAATGTGACGTCGCAACATCTGACCCCCCCCCCCCTCCCCCTCATCACACATCGTCACAAAATTACGGACCCCCCCTCCCCCCTACGAGTGTGACGTCATTTATGGATGACCCCTAGGCAGAAAAACCAAAGCCATTATTGTGTTACTGATTTGAAAAATCCATTTGGAGTACCTACAATAACCAAAATTAACCAGTAGTAGAAATTCCTATACATAGAGAAATGGGATGGAGAGAGCTGGTCTTTTTTTTTTTTTCAGAAAAATACATACAGATTTTTTAAATAAACTTTTTAATAAAGTTTTTAATAAACATTGTAGCAGTAAATTATTTTATTTGTCAGCATGAATTTTTATGCAAACTACACCACAATTAGCCCCAGTTTTTAAAATTAAAACAAAATAATGAGCTAACTAGCGTATGTATTATGTATTGTTGTATCATAATGTCATATCACTGATTGTTTTATTACTTTTATGCATTTTCAGAATCCAAAAAACCACAATGCAAAATCCTGATGATAGCTATGAACATGGTGGGTTGAGCTTATTGGGCTTTTAGACTGTTTATTAATTTCAATAACGATAACAGCAGGCCTACTGCCAATGTGGGATTTGAAAGGGGGGGGGGGGTGGAAGGGGATGGGTAAGATGTTTAGGAAGAGTGGTCTCTTTTGCATTTTTTTTTACACAAAATATCAGCGATTACTTTTAGAAAATGCAAGTTAGAAGTCTAAAAATGTACCTAATAATATTCACTCAGAATAGCTAAAGTTAGGTGATCAGTTATGTTCTATTCAATCAATCTAAAGTGCAGTTAACAGCAGCTGTATTATTTTATTATAGATTGGTTATGTTAATTAGACCCCTAAACCAATGGGAATTAACACAATATTAATTTTTTAGAATTCAATAAATTTAAAACAAGAAAAATTGCTATGGGGGGGGGGGGGGTGGAACCACTGAAGTTAAAAAAAAAAACCCTGTTGTGTCACCACAATGTCTTTTTTTAGCGCAATTTCCATACTGGACAATTGCGATTATTAAGTCGTCATTTCTGGATGGATGAATGAATGGATGTGTGTCCGCAGCTTTAAGTCGTATCTCCTCCTCAACGAAGCAATATCGAGGACTAGTTCCAAAAGCAAATATGTTAAGCAAGATCCGAGGATGATTGTGGGCCAAAAAAATTCCCGGAATTCCTTCCTGGATTTCCCAAAAAAGCCAAAAAAAAACCTAGAAAAAATGCAGTTTTTGGCCCATATCTCTGCAACCAGACCACTTAGCGACTTGAAACATTTACCAATCGATTCCTGCCATAATTTAGAACAATATTGCCGAAGAAAGTTTTCACAAATATCCTTTTGTTCGGTCACAAAAAAATATTTACTACTTTTTTAAACTGAGCATCGTGTAGGCCTACTCGTTAAAATAAAACTATTTCCGTTGATATAGGTTAATATAGTAGTCTTTTTTTTTTAGCGCAAAAAAATATCCTTTCGTTCGGTCACAAGAAATTTAAAATTGTTATGGATAACATAAGGAAATTGCGCTTAAATTGTCACTAGACTTTTATTAACTTGTTTTTGGATTAAAGTATTTTAAAATGCCATTTACTTGTTTACGCAGAAGCTGACAATGACCATATGCTTGTAACACTGATACTTCCTAATGGTGAAGTGAAAAGTAATTTTGTAGTAAGAACCAAAACCAATGTACTTAAGGTAATCATGGGTTGTTGTTTTTTTATACAAGTAGTAATAGTACTATTACTACTTGCATTACTATTACTAATAGTAATGCAAGTTTGGTCAATTAACTAAGTAAGTTATTCATTAATTTTAAATAGTCTTATTCCTGTTATTTCATATCAGAGGCGTAGCGACCCTTCCCGGCGCCCGGGGACAAACTTTCAATTTGGCGCCCCCCTCGGGAGCAAACTTTCAATTTGCACCCTCCCCTCAAACTATTTATAATGTAAAAATGCAGCAAAAATGACATTTTAATTTGTTTTTACAACCCATTTTGGTGCCCCCTAAGGTCGGCGCCCGGGGACATATGTACCCACTTGCCCCCCCATCGCTACGCCTCTGTTTCATATATTAACTGTAATTTTTATTTTAAATTGTATTTCCCATTTTAGGAAAAAAAGAGAATTTTATTTGAAAACCAGTTATCAAATGACTTCAGTCCAGAGGATTTAAAATTGTTTATTTTATTAAAAGAAGGAAATGAAATAAAAATGGATGAAAATGAGAATATGAGTTTTTATAGAGAGCAATTGACAGCTGGGCAGTTGGAGCTTAAGGAAAGGTAACAAAAAAGATATTGTGTTATCTTTGAGCACTATGTATCAACACTTTCGCTAAATTATGCTCAAAGAATATTTCAGGCTTGAGAAAAGACTATGGTTGGAAAAAAAAAGTGATAGTGAAATATTTTATTAAGACCATATAAACTGTAACATTCACTAAACAAAACTCCCAGGAAAATTTATGTTTATTCCTGATTTTCTGTATAGATCTACAACTTAGTTTTGAATATCTATATATTCAAAGACTTTCAAAAGGGGGGGGGGATAGTGGGAAGGATTGTAATTATAATAATGAAAAAATGAAAATACCTCAAAAACCAGTTTTTACCCATACTTCCCTACATTTCTATAGCCTGATTCCACTGGAAGCGCTATCCTAACCAATGCTGCCATAAATTATAAACGAATATATTGACTTATTTGACTAGTGACCAGCTAAATAATACTCAACCAGGTCTACTGACTGGGGGCATCATAGAGGCCAATTTATATTTTGAGAATATAGCTACCTAGCAGTAGCACCAACCTAGTAGGAACAGTGATCTTCACAGAAAAACAACAACATTGTATTACAGTACTATTCTGAAGTCCACCAAATTTCTTTTAAAATATTTAAATGACAAATTTTGTTATAAATTTTTGGGCAATTTTGGTAACATTACATTACAAAAAAAATTGTTCTCAATACATATATAATTACTTAAAGAATTAGCTATAGTTTAATAAAATATTTTGTTGTTGCAGCGATTATGTACCTAAGAACAGTGTTTATCCAACATCCCCCCAAGAATTTGGATTAAAGTTGAAGTAATGATTGCTTAAAGTCACCAATATAAAAAAGTTTTTACTCTTGAGTGATAATTTAGAAATTAAATTGTGATATTTGTTAAGTTAAAAACTATTTAAAATAATTGAATTTTACAATAACCTCTTAGTTTTATTCAGTTAAAATTAAAATATACAATTTAGTTTTAAAACCACTGTTGCCATTGGTTGCATAACAAACACTACCACTATTTGAACTGAAGATTATGTACATCTGTGTTACTGTTGTTACTCAACTAGAATGTAAAAAATCTGTTAAGTTTCCTTCTTCACCTGGCATTTTGGCATTAAAAAAAATAAAAATAACTGATTCTTATTTATCATATTTTATGAGATGGCTTTTATATATAGCTGTAAAAAAATATTTTTTTGTAAATTTGTTAACTACTACAGTACTACAAATTGTAATTTAAATTTTTTTCTCCCTTAAGTTTATAATTAAAAAGCCTAAATTCAACTCATTAAGATGTTGAATTTTGGGTTAGCATTCATAAGCTCAGCCATCCAAACACTAACCGGGATTTGAACTATTAACTTTGGGGGATGGAGTGTATAGGATATCCCAGAGTCAACCCAGTTTGGATGGGTACCTGACTGATGTTAGGGAAACAAAAGCAACATAGGGCTGGCCACATTCTTCATATATGCTGAGGTTATTGAACAGGTGAATTCAACTTCATCTTCCCTATAACTATGTCTTGGGCACAAATGGGAAAAGATTTTGGCTAAGATGTTTGAATACTGCCCCCAAAAGTAAGGAAATATCCCTGTTCACATGCTCATTAAAGCTGCTTCTAATGCAGAATTTTAGAGGTCTAGTAAAAATTAAAAGACACAAATAAACTCAAAGTTTTGATAGCATGGGGACTTTTTTTCGTCTTCGTCCTGTAATGTTGAAAGGGATTTCCTCCATCACATTCAAGGATTATGATGTGTCAACTTGTTATGCACCATATCAGCTGTTGACTCCTAATTTCTTTCTAAATTTGCTTTCATAGCATTGACCAACAATTTTACTACCACTAAAGAAAATAGAATGTGGAAAATTTGTCATATCACCAAAATGTATATAGAAAATATATGATGTATTTTAGCTTTTTTAGTTAACAAACAAGTAATTTCAAAATTTGCTTAAAACACTTTTTGAATGGTTGAAACAGTTAAATAGTGTAGTCCTATTCATACACTTTAATGATTTGCTTGTAGTTTGACAGTAAAAAATACAAGCGACAAAGAAAATTCTATCTGTTCCTTTCCCCAGCAGAAAGGAATTGTGTTATTTCATTAAAACTTCCATCAGTGGGTTGTTATATGAAACACTTATGGCAAAGGTGAGCTTCTTTCCTATTTCCAAGTTGCTTACTACTATTAATACTACCATTCCTCAACTATCAACAGCACACCATATTTGTTGATGTGTATGTACAACATATGATCTTGATAGAAGGATGGTGGTGGTGGATGAGTTAACTTATTACACCTAAACACAGTAACAGTCAATCACTAGGAGAAAAATACAATTCTGTTTGTTAGTTATGTTAAATGGTTGTTAATAGGAGACAAATGGACTTTTTGATTACACAAAATTATTCAATTGTTGGTGTTTCATTTTTATATAAGGTTTACAATTATGGAAATAAATTTTTAATTTTTTGTAAATATATTTGTATATTGTTCTTTAAAATCCATGTCATTACAAACTGTTGTATTATTGTTAACTATAGTATTTTATTATAAGTTATTAAGGATTATTGAAATGGAGAGGGGGAGGCAAGTCACAATAAATACACACAAAAAAAAAACATTCGTACAGGCAACTTTTTCTTTATTCATACATGAAAATCCAATCACAAATACAACACGGTGGCACTGTTCTTGACAAAAACTCCAGAATTTCCTCAGCATTTCAAGCAGGGTGCTATAGTCTTAGTAAAAATAAGTCCATTTTAAACAAATTTGTTTGTAGAATAAAAATTATGTTGGCATTTTTCAAGTGAGAAAAATTCAATGGATTAATTACAGTAAAGCAATGCTTTGTATGACTTTTTTCAATTTAACTTGCAAATTAAATCCATGATAAATCTTGCTAATAAAGCAAATGTCCATACATACAATCTGTTTACAAAAGGGATGCTACTAGTAACAATCAGTTATTAGACACCTACCTGTAGGGTACATTTTACATTGCAAGCAGATGTTCAGCAGACATGGGAGCTGAGTAATAGAATACCAAGCTGTTGCTCTACCTGGAATAGTTTGTCCCCTCCTACTTTCACATCCTGGACTTGGGACCAGGCAATGGTGAGTTAAACTAACTATTGTGGAATCCAGGCAGTGTATGAACGGCAAGTTAAGAAGGAAAAATATTAACCTAATAGGTTTGAAAGATGGTCCTTCAGCAAACCATAAAAGTAAAGTCAGTTAACCTTGATTTAGAAGACAGAAGCTGATTCTCTATGTGGAAGATGTTACTATTTTCTGCTTCCAAATGGAAGCTAACTTTGCTGCCTTTTAATTGCAAGATCATAACATAAACTTTGTATTTGACTGATCTCAGCAATTTAGGCAGGCTATTCCGATCTTGTGAGTTACATGCTCCAAATATGATGTGCACCAAGGTAGCATTAGATTACAACCTAACACTCTTGTAGATAGCAAACACTGTGAGGTTAAACAGGCTACTGGTGGTTGGAAACGTAGGTGTTGGACGTGCTGAAATGGGAAGCTTTCAAGCTTTCTGTAAGGTGATGGACTCTGTTGAAAACTAGACCCTCATTTTATATATATGGCCCATCCCAATGCCATACACAAAAAATGCAGCAATCAGTGATGTTGTAAAAGCTGAAGCTGTAAGTACAGTAAAAAAACTATGGCGCAGAAGAGGATAAACCTCTTGACATCACTGTTTGTTTTGATGGTTTGTGGCACAAGAAGGGTCATACCTTAAAGCATGGACTTGGGTCGTCATTGAGGAAACAACAGGATTGGCAGTGGATTTTCACACATTGTCAGGTAAGAACAGATGTAGTTTTAAGGTCAAAGTATATTAGTGTTGTCAGAATAATTACAGTTTGCCCATGAAGACTTATATTTTTCTAGCTGTGCTCAACAGGCAAGATTAAGAGGAAAGAGGGACAGGAGGCCTACTTAGAGTGGTATGAGTCACACAAAAGTGACTGACATAAACCTCTCTGGCTCTTCAGGTCTTATGGACGTAGAGGCAGCAAAGAACATGTGGCAGCATTCTTTAGACAATGGTCTGTGGTATATACTATGTGTGTCAGTGATGGTGACTGCAAAACGTACAATGAACTAAAGATCCTGTCACTATATGATGTGCCTATCCAAAAAGAAGAGTGCACTAACCATGAGTCAAAGAGGTCTGGCACAGCACTCAAGAACCTAGTGTCGTGTGAGTCTAAGAGTAGCAGGACATAAGGTGGGTGTAAAATAGGAAGCCTGACTCAAGTGTGAGGCCACGCCTCCAAGGTAGGCCGGAAGAGGTCTGGGCCGCCTGGATGGCCAGAAAAGACCTCACCGCAGAAGAACTCAAAAGACCTCCTCTGGCAGTACCTGGGGTAAGCGGTCAGAGAGGAGCTGAGCTGCAAGTGTGATGATTTACAGAATGACCCGGAAGCCACCATCAGGCTCATCTGGGATATCTACGGGAGAAGGAGAGTCTCCCAGCTCATGGCTCCAAATGAACTTGCAGGGCCAAAATTAGTCAGTGAGGGCATACTCTCACCGCTTGCACAGGGGCTTCAAGACCCTGGCTGCGAGGCAGCACACTGCAGGTCCCCCAGACATGGTGAATTCCTAAGGGACCAATTTGTAGAGAATCTAAGCCAAGCCTCAGTTGGGAGACAGCTACAACAGCTCATCTTCCAGGACCCCAAGGTCACATTCATGGCTCTACATGACGCGACCATCAGATGGTCCGGAGACGAGGACCCAGGGGCAGATCCTGGACCATCCGGAACATCAGAAGTCTGCACAGCACTATCTATTTGTTAAACCTTGTCATATTTCTAATTAGCCTGGACTATAGTCCGAAATTTTGTATGATCTAGATCTATGATTTCTATGATCTCCTAGATCTATATCCCATTTACTTCAGTGACGTCATTCATTTACTCCTGGACACTGACTGATGTCACACTGACTTAAAGGGCCTTGATACAACGCAGAAACAGCCGTTTGTTCAATCAAGACGTCTAACAGGTGGTCCCACAAGAATCTTCACTTTCTTGCATGCTCTTCATCATTTGTTGTTGATTTTGCTCAAGGTCATTCACAGCCCTGCTGGATTGTTCTCTGACGACCTTGAGTGCCATAAGACTGGGAGGACTCTTGCCCACTTACAGAGTGCTTTGCAAGCTGACCTTGATTCTATTTCAGAATATTGTCGGACCTGGCAATTACATATTAATCCTTCCAAGTGTTCATACACCATTTTTTCACTCGCCGTGCGACTATAGATAGTCTAAAGTAACTTTAGAAGCAGGTCTAGAGATACAAGAGAGAGAGGTAGATCCAGGGATAGATTTACAAATATTTTTTTTAAAAATCATGCATTTTTGTCCCTTTTCAGGGTTTTTTTAATGTTTAAATTGTGAAGGATTTAGTATTTAAGTAACTGGGGATTTCCTGATTGTTGAACTCATGATAACATGTTTTTGGTTTGTTGTTCATATTTTATTCTTTATTTCTAAACACAACTTCAGATATCTGACCATGGTAGGCGATGGAGATTCAAAAGCATTTGAGCAAGTAAAGTCACTGAAAGTATAAGGGAAGGACTTGGTTGAAAAAGAAGAATGCCTCAGTCTCGAAGCGACTTGGCAACACCCATCATGTTCAGGACTTCCAAAAAAAGTTCGTTGAATTATAATAACTTTTTTGAGACATTCTGTATAAGTTTAGTTTAGAGAGAGGGATTAGTATTGAATTATTAATTTGGTTGAAGCTTTTCTTTTTTTGTGAACTAAAATGTTTCTTTTTTCAGAGGTACCCTTTGGAGGATGTATGCCTGGCAATTTGACAGCAGACAAGAGAAGAAAAT